CGCTCCCCCCACCGCTGCCACCGAGGCCTGTAAGCTGCCTGAGACAGGGGTTTTACGGCCCGGTGCATCCAGAGCAGCCGACCTTCGTTTCGCCCCAGCTGCCTGATATATGGCGGTGTGTGGAGGCGACATGGCAGCAGCCATTTAAAACGAAGGCCCCAGTAGCCGCTATGGCAGGCATCATCAAGGTTGAGGGCCGCTCGGACACAACGTGTTCGGGTGTGCCCCCCCTTGATGAGAGCCTGGCGGCCCATCTGCTTCCGCGGGCGGCTGGTTGGGCGGAGGGTAAGCGACCCCTGCCCCCGCTGCCCCGGGACCGAGACACTCTGGACAAGATGTTCAAGTTCGGTACGCAGATGGCGGCTGCAGCAAATAATCTCGGCGTGTTGGGCGTCTCCCTGATCACCCCTCAGGCAGTCGCCCCCGCCCTCCTGTCTCAAGATGGGAGCGATTATCCGGACCGCGCTATAGGTCAGATGAACAATCTGATTCATGGCGTGGCCGCTGCAGCAGGGCGGGTGATTTCCTTGGCCACAGTGGCGTCTCGTCACGTGTGGTTGGGACTCACTGCCCTATCTAAGAAAGACCGAGAAGATCTCCTCGGAGCCCCCGTGTCCACGGAGGGGCTCTTTGGGTCAATCTCCTCGGTCACTCAGCGCTTCAGCCGGCTGGAGGAGGAAAGGGTCCAGCTTAGCCGGATGCTACCGCTGGCCCCGCCTCCGGCCCCGCTACGCGCTCCTCCACGCGTGGGGGAGGTAGCATCTCGGCGGGGAGAGGAAATCTCTTAGCCCGGGACCAAGGGTGAATCCCGCCCCCTCCCTATTTGATGCACAGATTCCTTTGAAAAAATTTAAAAATAAAGAAAAAGTTCATCTGTATCCAAGTCTAAGTGTCCTTTGTTTCCACAATGCTACACTTACACATGATGTCTGTACAGATTCCCCACTCGCCGCCCCAGCCATAGCTCCTGTAAGGGAGGAGGCTAGTGGGAGTGCGCAGATGAGAGTGATAAAACGTAAACAAAGCTATCGTAGTGCTATACGTGTACAGAGGCATTATGGCCGGCGTATTGATGTTTCGGAACACACTAAGCCTGGGGCTAGAACACCAATTAATGCAGGTTACCAGAGTTGCATTATGGCAGCGCCCGCACTCACAGAAGAGCGCGTGGCGGTGCGTTCAGGGGCCTTAGTAGAACGCACTACTCCTATGAGGACTCCGATTAATGATGTTCACCGTAAGGGTGAGAACGGCATTATGAGGGAGCGCGCGCTCACACATGAGCGTGCGGCGGTGCGTTCAGGGTCCTCAGGTCCTCCAGCATTTCAGGCCCCTAATTCAGGGGAGACATGTAATGGTCAGGAGCGACAACAGCACCACAGTGGCTTATATCAACAAGCAGGGCGGAGTTCGATCTGCCGCCTTGTTGACCACAGCGGAGAGGCTGTGGTTATGGGCTTCAGAGGTGGTGTTATCTCTGAGAGCCCTCCATATCCCGGGACTGGAGAACAGAGGAGCCGACCTCATGTCGAGGAGCGGCCCCCTGCCAGGCGAGTAGGTGCTTCACCCGAAGGTGGTGAAGCAGATCTGGGCCCAGTTCGGGAGAGCGGAAGTGGATCTGTTCGCCAGCCGGCGAAACAGCCACTGTGCCCTGTGGTTCTCCGTGGCTCGGAGCAACGACCCACCCTTGGGGGTGGACGCGTTTGCACACGAGCCATGGCCAAGGAAGCTGCTCTACGCCTTTCTACCGCTGCGTCTCATTCTCCCTCTCCTGAGGAGAGTGAGGCGAGAACGTCTGTCAGTCATCCTAGTGGCTCCGGACCGCGTTGGGGCGCCGTGGTACTCAGAGATGACACAGATGAAGGTGGGCCAGCCCTGGGCGGTTCCCCAGTTATGGGGGGCGATGTCTCAAGAGGCAGGTGCAATCGGGGCGTTACCCACTCTCGGCCGTCCTCTCCAGGCTTGGCTCCTGAGAGGGACAGGCTGAGATAGGGTGGATTGTCTGACAGTGTTATTCAGTCTATCCAGGCAGCTAGAGCTGGATCCACCACAGCCTGTTACAGGACAAAGTGGCTAGGATTCCAGAGATTGTGTGAGGAGCGGGGAATAGAGCCCCTATCTTGTGAGTTAGGCTCTATTTGATCCTTCTTACAGTTATTGGTGGACAGAGGGCTTGCGCATTCAACAGTGAAGGTGTATGCAGCAGCCATCTCGTCCTGCCATGAGGGATTTTGCGGCAGGTCAGCCTTTAGTCAACCACTGATGTCGCTGTTTTTAAGAGACACTATTTTGGGGTACAATTTATCAATTTTCACCCCTTTTTTCTGGTTCTTCCAAAAGTTAACTTAGACTTTTTCTGACTCTGGAGGAATGTAACGGGAGTTGTCAGGGGACTCTACCCGCCTTAAGAGACACTATTTTTGGATACATGTTATCCATTTTCACCCTTTTATATGGTTCTCCCAAAAGTTAACTTAGACTTTTTCTGACCCATGTACATCACCCTGGATCTCTGCCTGTGAGTGTGGGACCAGTGACTGTGTAAGCAGCAGCCTGTCCTCTGGGTGGGAGAGAGCGAGGTGCTGTAAGGAGCTCTCTGGGTCACATCCTGCTGCTGCTGCTGCTGCTGCTGCTGCTGCTGCTCTCTCTCCCTCCCTGTATTCACAGCACTTTTACCCAGCTTTCACACACTCATTCCTGGGTAAGAAAGCCATGTGCATGCCCCTGGTTCTCTGCCTTGGATCTCTGCCTGTGTGCCTGTGGGACCCTGCTTACAGCAGTGACTTTGCTCTGAAGCAGCCTGTCCTCTGGATGGTGGGAGAGCGAGGTGCTGTAAGGAGCTCTCTGGGTCGCATCCTGCTGCTGCTGCTGCTGCTGCTCCTTCTCTCTCCCGGTATTCACAGCACTTTTACCCATCTTTAACATACTCATTACCGGGTAAGAAAGCCATGTGCATGCCCCTGGTTCTCTGCCTGTGTGAGTGTGGGACCCTGCTTACAGCAGTGACTCTGCTGTACATTTCATGAGTCAAATGTGGATGAAATGGACAGATTCCTGTACATTTCATGTACATTTCATGAGTCAAATGTGGACCCTAACCCTGGAGGTATCAGACTATTTAAAACATGTATACCCAGGATTCAATCACTTTTCCTGGCTTGCAAAGTGCTGTGAAGCAGCCTGTTCTCTGGGTGCAGTCTGGGTGTGCATGGAGGGGTTTAGTCCGAGTGAGGAGTGCTCAAGTGTGGGAGGATGTGTAAGGCAGAGGAGGGTAAAAAAAAAAGTTAAAGTGTGAACCTCCAGCAGGGCAGGTGGTGCTGTGAATAAGGCCGAATATTGATGCTGGTGTGCGGACAGTAAAGCACCACAAAATCCACCACCTTTAAGTGTTACCAGGGCCATGAGAACATCCTCCACAGGAGGGTGGGTGGTGCTGCTGTGAATAAGGCTGAATATTGATGCTGGTGTGCGGACGATAAAGCACCACAAAATCCACCTCCTTTAAGTGTTACCAGGGCCATGAGAACATCCTCCACAGGAGGGTGGGTGGTGCTGCTGTGAATGAGGCCGAATATTGATGCTGGTGTGCGGACAGTAAAGCACCACAAAATCCACCACCTTTAAGTGTCACCAGGGGCATGAGGTTCTGGAGGGTGTGAACATCTGGGTTTAGTCCGTTGGGGAGTGCTTAAGTCCGGGGGTCCGGGGTCTCACGGTGTGCGAGGTTATGGAAGTATGCATGATTTTCAAAATTCTCGAAAAAACGGCCAACGGAGGAGGGGCTACAAAAAGCTCAAGTGTTCGGCGCTTCCTCCGGAAGCCCCGGAGACATTTGCACTCCCCCGTTGCATTTTACAACGGAGAGGGGAATCAAGACCTCCCTCCCTCCGTCCAAAAAATTCATTCATCTTTTCCAAGCTACCATCTGCACGAAATCAGAAACCCGGTTTTTGAGAGCACTTAGAAAAAAACGGGCTATTTCACATGATGGGGAAATCATGGAGGAATGCATCCGCTACATGAGCACTTTGGATCGGATACAATTGTTGCCTGGAGGACCCCCAATCATGGTTATTACCAAACTTTAAGTTTTTGAACTGGTTTCTGGAGGAATTCAAGGGGAGTTGTCACAGAATTATGAGAGACTATTTTGGGATACAATTTCTCCATTTTTACCCCGTTCCTCTTGTTCTCCCAAAAGATAACTTAGAGACTTTTTCTGCCTCTGGAGGAATGTAAGAAGAGTTGTCAGGGGACTCTATCCGCCTTAAGAGACACTATTTTCGGATACATTTTATCCATTTTCACCCCTTTTCTCTGGTTCTCCCAAAATATAACAGAGTATTTCCTGACTCTGGCGGAATGTAAGGGCAGTTGTCAGGAGACTGTACCTGCATTAAGATGCAGTATTTTGGGATACATTTGGCCGGTTTTCATGGTTCTCCAAAAAAGATAACAGAGTATTTCCAGACTCTGGAGGAAAGTAAGGGAAGTTTGATGGGACTCTACCCGCATTATGATGCAGTATTTTGGGATACATTTGGCCGGTTTTCATGGTTTTCCAAAAAAGATAACAGAGTATTTCCAGACTCTGGAGGAAAGTAAGGGGAGTTGTGACGGGACTCTACCCGCATTATGATTTTCGGATACTTTTTTTTCACTCTCATGTATCTTTCCATGGATGAATTATTGTATTTATTTTAACTTTTTGGTCAATTTCACCCAGTTTTGGCCCCCGCCTTGCCTGGAGGATAGGACCGAGAGATGACAGGGATCTCTGCCCGCCTAACGAGTGCCTAAATGGGACACCTTTCGCACGATGATGCAAATGGAAACACAATGTTTTGAAAATAAACTGGAGAGATTTGACATGGGGTCTTTCTAGTTCGCTGAGTGCAACTTTATTGAGTCTTTTCACGTTTCCTTCTTTGTCGCCCCCGGTTCTATACATTCTACTGGTGACATTTTCCGGTACCAAAATGCTCATGCATACAGATAGGATGGCGATCGGTTGTCCGATCTGTAAGAGTTCCTACCGCACCCTGAGCAAGCACCTGCAGAGGAAACATAGTGTGCGTAATGTAGTTGAAAGAAAAATTCTGCTGTTGTTGGCCAAAGGACGGACAAACATTAGGCTCCATCCCTGCACCATTGCAGGATGCGAGTACATCGGGACAAGGCTGAACCGCCACTTGTACAGAGGCCATGTTGAGCTGTCCCGGGAGGAAATATATGTGGTTTTAAATAAACTAAAAATGACAGTGGCAACGAAGGAGCTTCATGAACTCCGATTGACAAACCCCACAGTAACAATGATTACCTCTTGGGATGTGGACACTGTGGGTGATGAGGTCCTGTCACAACATCCACCCTTGTCCCCAGTGATTGAATGTGACAACCCGGACTGTAAAGAATGGAGGATGGAGGCAAACACAATGAGGGCTCAGAGGGACAGATATGCTGCTGAGGTGAAATCCCTTCGCTGCAAGCTGCAGCAGAGGATAAAACATAAGCGACAGAGGAGGGACCAGAGGGCCGAGGACATGCATGGGTTCGATGAAGAGGATGGGGAGGAACAAGAGCGGGTGTTTCTAAGGAAACGACCCCGAACAGAATCAACACCAAAGAGGCAGTCCAAGTCCAAAGGTCCCTCCTGCAGCAAGTCCCCCATTCCCTCCTGCAGCAAGTCCCCCATTCCCTCCTGCAGCAATACCCCATTGCCTCTCACACACCTGTATCCAGCTCCTCAGAACCTGCATCCATAGATACCGAGGCCTCGTCAACCTCCCCTCCCATACATTCCCCCTGGTTCAGCGGCAGGGGCCGGGGGAATATAATGCGGGACATAACATTCCCACGCATCATGGGTAAGTGTGTTGAATATGTCACAAATGCAATTTCTGTAACGCACAATGTGTTGTCATTAAAGTACTGTGTTATGTTTCACAGAGGAGTATCTGCAAGGCTACCGGGAGCATTATGAGGGCATCGACCCTACAGTGAGGCTCCAAGAAAATGCAGTCTCCAAAATAAGCAGAGTGAAATCGTTCCTAAGCTTCATGGCACACGGTTTCAATCTCCTGTCTGACTGGCTCTTTCTGAGGGATTTGAAGAGGATACGTGGGTGAGTAACATCAAAAACTGTCCATGATGTTAGCATCATTGTGTGTGTTCTCCACATTGACACAATACGATGTACTGATGCGTTTTCCTTTGCCAACAGCTGGTCCCGGAGTCTGATAAAGTCCAGCCTACAGGTCACGACCGCGGACTTCTACATAAAAAATATATCACACTTTCTGAAATACATGTCAGCCACACCATGCAAGGGGAGCAGGCTCAACCAAAACGACATGACTGTAATCAAACGGGAACTTGTTGCCATCCTGAAGTCCCTGAGGAAGAAGATGATTATCCACCAGATGCAGGTGAAGCGGGACAAGATGGAAGGTCTGCCGAGCTATAAAGACATCATGGCATGTTTGACTGCGGCCAAAAGTCGCATCCCTCAGCTCCTGGACGTGATGGCCAGCAATCCGACAACCGCAACCCGGCTCTTGCTCTATGGGTACATGACCCTCCATTGGAGCTGCATTTATGGCCACCGTCCGGGGGTCTACTCCAACATGACCAACACCGAGGTCCGAAAGGCGGAGACAACTGGCACTGCCTTTGGCTACCTCATCCACGTGAGTGATATTAAAAAAATGTCTTTATTCTGGCAGTGATAAACATGTTGTGCATGATTGATACTTGTATTGACGCTCTCTACCTCTGTCAACCACAAGACGGCCAACGCGTTCGGTGAAGCACAGCTGTACCTCACCATAGAAGAATTCGGATGGATGAAGAGGTGGCTGGAAATCAAGGGGACGCTGACCTGCACCCAGAACCGCTACTTCCTATACACAGCGGGGAAGAACCCGTCGAGGAACCTTGCCTACTTCCTGAGGTTGGCATGGGCTGATGTGGGACTACAAGGTCCCATTAACTTCACCAACCTCCGCACAGTCCACGCAGATAATGCGAAGAGGTTTCAGGACATAAGCAACCGCCAAAGAGTGAGTGATTTCATGTGTCACAACACTGCAACTGCAGACACATTTTATGCCAAGAATCCTTCTTTGAAGGATGCTGCGGACATACGGCTGCTCTTCACAGAGTCACTGCCAGCGGCAGCAGCAGCAGCAGGGGGGAGTGAAGAAAATGTGGGGGACATTGACAGTGACAGCTCTGGAGAGGAGCATAGCCCCACTCCCTCCCAAGACTTCCCCGATGCCGAGACGTCAGGCGAATAATTCTACTTAAACTTCAACGCTTGGAGAGCGGCGAAGAGGGAACAGTCAATGGCCGAACACAGTCCCTCAGACATGGGTGAAGAGAGGGTGCCAGACTCTGCACCAACTTCACCCGATACGGACAATGTTGCCAGGGACCAACTTGTAAATATGCAATGTTTTGTTGTACTCAGTCCCCTTGTGCTGGATGAGTGAATAATGTTATCATGTTATAAAGTGTCAATGTATATATTTCTGTAAATAAAGTTTGTTAAAATTACTTACTTTGTCCTCTTTTTTAAAAAACCACTATGGGTGTTTCCCCTTTAAGATCCCCAGGGGCACGAGGTTCTGGTGGTGTGCATAAAGGGGTTTAGTCCGAGTGAGGAGTGCTCAAGTGTTGGAGGATGTGTAAGGCAGAGGAGGATAAAACAAAGTTAAAGTGTGAACCTCCAGCAGGGCAGGTGGTGCTGTGAAGAAGGCCGAATATGGATACTGATGGGCGGACAATAAAGCACCACAAAATCCACCACCTTTAAGTGTTACCAGGGGCATGAGAACATCCTCCACAGGAGGGTGGGTGGTGCTGTGAATAAGGCTGAATATTGATGCTGGTGTGCGGACAGTAAAGCACCACAAAATGTACCACCTTTAAGTGTTACCAGGGCCATGAGAACATCCTCCACAGGAGGGTGGGTGGTGCTATGAATAAGGCCAAATATGGATGCCGATGGGCGGACGGTAAAGCACCGCAAAATCCACCCCCCTTTAAGGTTACCAGGGGCACGAGGTTCTTGAGGGTGTGATCATCTGGGTTTAGTCCGTGGGGGAGTGCTTAAGTCCGGGGACCCAAGGTGCGCGAGGTTATGGAAGTGTGCATGTCAGGGAGAGATGCTGGAGCTGCTTAGTCCGTGGTTTGGGGCTCTGTGAGCGGCTACAAATAGGTGGTTTTCCCGGTGTATTTCATGGAAGTCTGACATAGCCTGTGTCCTGTGAAATAGCCTGTTTGCCCGCATGTCAAATCTTGCTATTAATTGATAACTTTTAATAGGAATCTTTGTTTGACATATGTTGTTCAGAATGTGCTATTTATACAGAAATAGCACATTCTGAATGACCCAGTGTACACATCGTACCTGCAAAATGATGATGCAAGGCTGGGTAACGATGTGTACACTGCATGGACATACTTTTGTGCATTAAAGTATGTGTAATAGACATGTATTTAAATCACTTTTACCGCTATTTAAATACTTCTTCCTGGGTAAAACAATCAATGTATTTCCGCCTGCTTTCCATCAGCACCTGACAGCCTGTTTCCATGTCAGGGAGAGATGCTGGAGCTGCTTAGTCCGTGGTTTGGGGCTCTGTGAGCGGCTACAAATAGGTGGTTTTCCCAGTGTATTTCATGGAAGTCTGACATAGCCTGTTTGCACATGTCAGGGAGAGATGCTGGAGCTGCTTCGTCCGTCATTTGGGGCTCTGTGAGCGGCTACACATAGGTGATTTTAGGTGTGTCATGGCTATGGGTCTCTGAAACAATCAGGATTTTAGCACACTGTTAGCATAGTTTAATCCGATTTTTAGCACTCTTTTCCCCGCAGAAACTAGTTTAAATCACCGTTAAACACTTATTTGCAATGTCTATTTCATGGACACCACTCTATGTATTAATGTCCGTGATATGGACATATTATTCTGTACACGCCACGGACAATGATGTCTACTCAGTGGACATTACGCCCTCTGGTGCATCTGGTGCGGGGAAAGCTCGCCCGTCTCCGGTTCTTTTTCCACGTGGAAGGCCCCTGCACTGGCTATCCATGTAGCACCCCAGCTTATTTTTATTTTGCTCTGGGGCCGAACTGCATGTCTGTACACTTGGCGTACCGCGACCGGTAGTTAATGTCCACACAGTGTACACACAAGTCCCTAAGGTATGTAGGGGGAGTTTGAGGGGACTCTAGCCGGGTTATGAGGCACTATTTTCGTATACTTTTTTACATTTTCACCCCTTTTTTATGGTTCTCCAAAAAGTTAACTCAGACCTTTTTCTGACTCTGGAGGAATGTAAGGGGAGTTTACAGGGGACCCTACCCGCCTTATGAGGCACTATTTTCGGATACTTGTTTTCATTTTCACCCATTTTCCCTGGTTCTCCAAAAACTTGAATCTGACTATTTTGCCTGTGGAGGAATGACATGGGAGTTGACAGGGGACTCTACCCGCATTATGAGACAATATTTTCGGATACATTTTCTCACTTTCACCCCTTTTCTATGGATCTCCAAAAAGTGAACTCAGATTTGTTCAGACTGTGGAGGAATGCAAGGGGAGTTGACAGGGGACTCTTGCGGGCTCATGATGCACTATTTTCGGATACTTTTTTTCATTTTCAGCCCTTTTCCATGGATGAATTTAAACTTATTTTTTTTACATTTTGGTCAATTTGACCCAGTTCTGGTACTGCATTGCCTGGAGTATAGGACCGAGAGATAACAGACTCTCTGGCCGCCTCACAAGTCACTATTCTTTGCTTTACCCCGGTTCTATCACTCTTTCCTCCTTTGACCATAAAACGTGTTTCCTGCTGGGGTACTGCCTGGTTCCGGGGCACCCCAAACCCTCTCATGGTCGGGGCACCATGAATTGATGCATCGGACCCAATGTTGCCATCACCAGCCCCGCGTTGGTGCGGAGGTGGGACCATTTAACCCGGTGGTAACCCAAGTCCTCCCTTGGTCCGTGTAGCAGGCATTGAAGCATCGGACCCATTGTTGCAATCCCATAGTTATGTTGTTCATGAAGCCTTATCTAAGCTAGATCCTAAGAAACCGGCCGGCCCGGACAACGTAGAACCTTTTTAAAGATAGCTGCAGATTGTATTGCTCTTCCTCTTACTACTCTTTTTAACCTCTTCTTCAGCACGAATGCAATTCCAAAAGTATGGAAGTCAGCTTATGTCTTGCCTTTACTAAAAGGAGGGGAGGCAACTATTTTAAATAACTATAGACCCATCTCTAAATTGTCAGTTCTGGCGAAGGTGCTCGAACGCTTAGTGAGTGAACAGGTAAAGGAGTTTTTATGTAAAAATGATATCCTGTCTAAACATCAGTCAGGCTTCAGAAAGCAACACAGCATCATCACTGCCACAATGAAAGTGGTGAATGACATTACGAGTATCTTAGATAATAAGCAGAGTTGTGCAGCTCTATTTATTGACCTTTCCAAAGCGTTTGATACCGTCGATCATCACATCTTAAAGCAGAGGCTACTCAGTGTCGGCATATCCAGCCATGCAGTGGGTGGTTTGTGAACTACCTCTCTGAAAGGTCCCAATGTGTTCACTTTGATGGGCTGTCTTCTGAGTGGTTAAACATGGCTAATGGTGTTCCTCAAGGTTCTGTTTTAGGTCCACTTTTATTCTCCATATCAACAGTTTAGGTGAAAATGTGGATGAAGCTACTTTACATTTTTATGCTGATGATACCGTGATGTTCTGTGCAGGTCCCTCCATTCAGGAGGCTGGTGTTAAATTACAGGCTGTTTTTAACATTATTCAGACTCAGCTCTCTGAACTAAAGCTTCTTTTAAATGTTGATAAAACCAAGGTAATGCTCTTTCTAAAGCTAAAAAGACACCAGAGCCTGTTTTGGATATTGTTACTATGCAAGGACAAGTACTTGAAGTGGTTACCTGTTATAAATACCTAGGTATCTGGCTTGATGATTGTCTTACTTTTAAACTTCATGTCAATAACCTGCTTAAAAAGCTGAGGGTTAGACTAGGTTTCTTTTTCAGAAACAAGTCCTGTTTCTCACTTGAGGCCAGGAAAAGGCTCTGTGACCTTTGACCTGTGCTGGACTCTGGTGATCTGATCTATATGAATGCACCTGCCCATTGCCTGGAAAAGTGAGATGCCGCCTATCACAGTGCCCTGAGATGTGTTACTAACTGTAAAGCACTGACTCATCACTGTACCCTATATGCCGAGGCAGGTCTGCCTTCACTAACTGTACGGAGGCTCAGTCACTGGTACACGTTCATTTACAAAGCCATGTTGGGTAAACTACCTTTTTATATCTGCTCTCTGATCTCTCCACGAATTGAAAGTACGTATTGCCTGAGATCTCATGATGTTGTTTTATTAAATGTGCCAAGTGCTAGGACTGTCTTAGGGAAGAAAGCTTTTAGTTGTGCAGCTCCACTAACTTGGAACAGTCTGCAAACATGTTTCAAACTGAGCACTTTAGTTCCCCTGCATCACTTTGAAACTCAGCTGGGTGACATGCTGTTTGAAACTCATGGTACCTGTCTCTGTGAATAGAGTTTGTACCCTGTACATTATGTTGTATGTCATCCTTATTGTTGTTCTGTTGTTTTTATGTTACATGTGTAACTAATGTCCTGCAGGTCACCTTGAAGAAGAGATCTTTTGATCTCAAGGGGCTTCACCTGGTTAAATAAAGGCTACAAGCAATCTCATGAGCACAATAAGCATATAATGTAATAATAAGAATCAGTCTTGTAATGTTATATAAAAATAGACTCCACAGTTGCCAGGTTTGCGCACACGGCGCTATAATCACCCAATCACATTTCGAAAAAACTAAACGTAATATCTCAATACAAAAACAAACGCAAATATTTAATTAAAAAAAGCCAAGTCCTTTCAAGTCATCTGTCTCAAGCTCGAGTCGGACTCGAGTCAAGTCATGTGACTCGAGTCCCCACCTCTGGTATTTACTGACGTATTTTAGGCCGTAGAATTCTAACCTCTTCAGCTTGTGTTAACCACAGACCTTATTTCAGGATAACAACCAAAACTAAAAACCATTGACCTACAGACCAGGGGACTGAAGGTGACAACATGCTGACTAATTTACAGGTTTTAGGACTCATTCCTGCATCATTACATTTATATTAAACAAGCAACTTATATACAAATGTAAACCTCGGTATAGCTGTTATAAATAGGCCAGAAGGTTTTTTTCTTCCACCAGGCTGCAAACATGTTTGTG